TATAAAAAAATTCTAAATTTAGAAAACTTCTATATAAGCACACTTCTTTATAATCACTATTTTTGGTGGTCCCAAGGTCTGTGACTATAAGGGAGGACGACTGTATATATAAATTAAAGTGTTACTGTTTAACGTTGAACAAAAATTATAACACTTGCATAATCTTGCATACTACGCAGTATGCGTAGTACTAGCATAGTACACGTAGTACTAGCATAATATGTGTAGAATTAACTTGCAACATGATTTGCTAATGGATTAATCTAAAATAGGATTTATGTAACCATCATCAACTGGCATCCCCCTTTCCACCCTTATTAAATTACGTAATTTCTGGTCCTTCCCTTACTTTTTGAGAATCGTAAAAGTGTATCACTTATTTGCTATCTTAGAAAAGATCTACAAGAGATTGTTCATGCTCTCAAGACTGAATTTTCAGAACTAAGAATCAAGGAATATCACGGTAAATCTGATCCAATAGAAAAAGCTCAAGATTTCAGCAATGTAAAAGAATCATAGAAAAAGATTGACCTAGTTGCTTATACCAGCACTTTAAAAATAGAAGTATTTTGCATTAATCCTAAGTTTGAACGTGCATTTTGTATTTTTAATAGTTATATAAAATGAATGCTGGAACGAATCAGATGCTATTCCACATGTAATGCATTAAGGATTATATATGTTATATCGAACAAAGATCATTTAATGTTCCTATTACAGAAAAAGAATTATTTCAATAGTTATTGAAAGCCAAATGTGAATGCCTCCCTCATGAACTTCAGAATAGATGGGGTTTTCCAGATGTAGATTCTATTATCCGCAATAAAGATGTGTCAACTATTTGATTGTAGGTAGCATATATGTTAGAAAATTTCTGTTTTCGACATTTATTTAGTTGGAGGATAGTTGATTTTCTCCGAAAGGCAGGTGTTACCCTTGAAATTAGATCTGCAAAATATTAGTATTACAAAATCGATCATCAAATTAATGCATAAATTAAGTAATGAAATGATCTGCATAAATTGATTTCCTAAAATAGTAGTAAAATTGATTTGTAAAAAACTCTTTCTTACGACCTCCCAATTTCTTAAAAAAGATCGACAAAGATAAAAATATGCCAGTTACCAGAGCGTCTTCCTCTAAACAACAAACCAAAAATACTTATCAACGCAACAAACGCAACATCCCAGTTACCGACTCTAATGCTATAGGCTCCTCCTCAAATAAAACTGATACAAACGAAAATACTATTCCTTCTAAAAAACCTAGAACTCTTACTCCCTCGAACGAAGATTATCTCGAACCTGAAATAGAAAAGATTATTAACAACGTTATGTCTAAAGACAATCAAGAAACTCTAACCGAACAAACAGCTCCCAACGATAACTCCTCATTAAATGAACCGCTAGAAATGGAAGTTGAGACTACTTCTACTATTAGTCCTTTACAACCTGTTTTCCCAAAACAAAACACGAACGACTCTATGCATGCTGAAAATAATAACAACTACTTGTTTAAAGATACTGGCTTCGATTACGAACTCCCAGACAACGATAAGGGGAAAAACAAACAATCTTGGGACGACAAAGTCTCTGAAAAAGAGTCACGTGAACAAGAAACTGAAGGTGCTACTTACAACATAATCACTGCCCCTACGCGTTTTTACGCGACGGATAACGCGTCGGATATAAAAGGCAAATCTATTGCTGAAAAACGTACAACTATCAACTCCTTATTCATCCGATATAACGGTTATCAAGGTTCCAACTACATTTCCAAAATGAGAAAATTCTTTGTTTACTTTCGTTCAATGGATGAACTCCTGCATGCTATCAAGGACACTCAAGAATCACAACATAATCTGATCTTCACGGTTGTGGACCCAGCCCAAAAACAAATTAAGCAAGATGCTGAAAAAGGAAGGACCCTGAAGATCTCTGATATCCCTTTGTTCGTTAAATCTGATGTATTACGCAATTATTTCGCCAAATATGGCACGATCACCCGATTTTCTATGATCATCCGTGGTCCATGGCAAATTGCCTTTATTGTTTTTGAAAAGGCTGAAACTATCAGACCCTTTTACGATGATCACTGGTCGATTCAATTTTTGGAAAATGCTCTACGTGTCGAACCGACTGATTTAGACCCTATGCAAATTTCACTGCGCCAACAATTCGAATTAAAACTAACAGGCCTTCCTCTCAACACCAATCAACTACAACTACAAGATTTCCTATCGCACATTAAAGCTAAATCTTGCTTCATTCCTAGAGACCAACAATATCGCCTCCGTCCATACGCTTTCATTAATTTTGCTTCTCTAGACGACCTCGATGCTGCGGCGGCGCAGTCACAAAAATTTAAAGGAAGAACACTTTTTTGGATGGAACCTTCCTCCAAACATTGTCGAAGCTGTGGTGCTCCTGGACATGAATTCAAAGACTGCTCAAACCGAAGACCTGCCAATCCATACAAACCATTGTACGACCGTTTCAAACCTGAACAATACCGACCACCTCGTTCTTTTAACAAAAATGATCCCAACAATCCTTCATTTGCAAACATCATTGGTAACCAACAAAAACCTACTGCTAAAGATCCTCCTAAGACATCCCAGAATGTTGTTGATGCACTCAAACTAGTTCAAGAACAACTAATCTCGATTGACAACAAACTCCTTGCGATAGATGATGAAATCAAAGCCATTAAAACTGAGATTACAGACCATGCAGATGACCTTAATGATATAGGTTTTCGTTTAAATCGCCTTGAATTTATGCACAATATTGAGTATGACCCAAATCATGCTCGTGACCCAAACTACGAATTTCCATCTCACGACGATTTTTTGATGCCTATCGATGATCAAACTCCTGAACCACATATTTCACAAACGAATTCACCCATTCAAATACAAAGTACTCCATCCTCAGTTCAATCTGAACATCTCCAACGTATAGGCTTGGTAGAATCATCTGTTTACGATATTAGAGAAGAAATGCAAAAACTGGTTTCTATTATATCTCCTATCATTCAAACGTCTCTAAATTCTAATCAATGATAGTACATAATAACAGCAACATTAATGATGTCCAAAAGCATCAATTTAATAAGAATAGATTTACAAACGATAACTTTCAAACGCAATGCAATGATCCTAAATTTTTTTCATTCGCCACACATAACGTTAGAAGCTGCACGTTAGATGTCAAATTAACACAAATCGAACAATTTTTTACTAATTACAACATAGATATTTTAGGTCTCTCCGAAACTCACTTTAACAAATCGCAAGCTTTTTATTACTCACAAAATCTTCAATCCAAACCGTATCGTTTTCTTTTTTCTTCGAATAACCCATCACAAAACTGCCAAGGCGTTGGCTTTATTATTAGAAATTATCTCTATGACCATATCTTCTTTTATGAATTTCTCTTCGACAGATTAGCATACATCGACCTTCAATTCAAAAATAGAACCAAACTTCATATTTTTCAAATTTATCTTCCTGCAAACCACAGCGATAAAGCTCAAATCACCCTCAGAAAACAGATAGAAGCCAAATTAATGGAGCTCATTTTAGATGCATAAGGAAAATCTTTTCACATAGTCATAATGGGTGATTTTAATGTAGACATTTTAGCAATATGACTAAACAATATAAAGAAAAACTTTTCTTCATAGATAAAATTTTCAACCTCAATTTCATTTTAGCAAACACGTTAAATCATACCTCCAATTCCTTACACCCCCATACATACGTTAACCCTGTATCACACAACACTTCGCATTTAGATTATATTTTCACTTCTTCCGCTCTTACATATGATTTAATTGCATACAGGATTTTAGATAATAATCACACCATTTACGAATCTGATTATTTACCTATCCTGATTTCAATTTACAAAGAAAATTTATTTCACAACTCATCCAGTGTCTACCGTAAACAACACAAAACCACAAGAAAATTATTTAACTACGACAAAACAGCGAACTTACATTGGGATCTTTTTTCAGACAAAATGGACAAATTTATTAGAGATTCCTCGATGTATAAGGACTGTGACCCTACAGACCTCAGTCCTAACATGAATACGCTAAACAAGGCTTGGGATTTCTTTGCACATGCTATAATCACTGCTGCAAACAAACATATTCCCAAATCTATGACCACAATCGATCATAAACCCCTCTATACTCACGATAATTCTAAAATGCACAGGCAATCAAAAATTTTGTACAAATTATTCTACAAATCTAAACTCATTCTAGACAACTTAAACAACCATCAGATACATGCCACTTTCTTATCTATAAAGGATTTGCATTCGAAAGTTCTCAAAATTTCAACTGAATACACAATTTCCACAGCACAGTTAGATTCTTTATTTTATCAAAATAATATTAAGGACTACATTGTAGAACTCAAACAATCCATTATCAAACCTTTTGAATGTAAACTTAAAATCTTCTCATGAAATGAAAATAACAAAAAAATCAAAGAATTCGTATTCCAAAGAGCTACTAATTATACTGATGCTCCTGCAAAGATGATTGATTCGTGTTTAGAAAGAACTAGGAAAATGATAGTTCTCGATCGTGTTCTTATAAACACAAATACAAATGATCCATATTTAGAGTTAGACCCTGATAATATTAAATCCGCAACTATAAACCACTTTAAGCATGCGGCTGGTTCCTCTAATCTTCGCCTAGATGATTTAATCGCTTCTGGTCACTCTGAAGCGTGGAAATTTTGGAAAGATAAATACAAACCATTAGAATCTATTGATAACAATTTATATAATGCCATTTTGGATCCTCCAACATATGATGAATGGTTGCTAATCCTTAAACATCTTTCAGATGGCAAAGTGCCTAATCCTTCTAATATCTCTAACGAATTTTTAAAACATCTAGGTCCATGAGCTAACAAATTTCTCTTCAAAATCATTTGTACTTATTTTATATCAGGGTTAACACCTGCTCAATGGAACCTTGCCCACGTTTTTCCAATCCCAAAGCCTCAACCTTGAAACTGTGACTTAAATAATGCCAGACCCACCACTTTATTGGAAACAGCTAGGAAGGCTTTCACGAAAATTCTTAACAACCGCATTCAACAAATTTTAATACAATCAAATGCTCTTTCTGGATTAAATTTCGCCAGCCTTCTGCACCAATCGACAAATGAACCTTTGAACATCGTTAATAATTTACTGGAATATCATCGGCTGAGAAAGAAAAGTGATACAACATACGACTAAGAATTACACATATTTTTCCAAGACATGTCCAAAGCCTATGACAGAATCAACATTTTTATGCTCTAAAATGCAATGGCTAGACTAAAATTCCCGCTTAAACTAATTAATTTGATAGCAGGTTTATTTCTAAATAGGAAAAACCAAGTTTTTATAAGCTTTGGCAACACTGATTTCTACGATGTTCAGGTCGGTATAGATCAGGGTGAAGTCATTTCTCCAATCCTTTGGGTTATATATTATGATCCT